ACGAGCAGCACAACATGGAGAGCTACCTCAGCCAGTTTAGCTTGGAAGGAGAATTCGTCTAGTCAGGCCCTGGTGCTGGCGGTGCTGGCCTGGCGGGAAATTAGCTTTGCTTGCGTCCTGTGCGTGTTGTCCTTCTTTCTTCGGTTGCTTTCGTTTGCTTTGAGGCTAGACATTGCTTTTGATTTTGTTTTTGTTCAGCTTATCAAATTCATTTAAAGACATTTGATTGTGTCCATTGACTAGGCGTTACGGACTATTCTATTACATTTTGAGAAATTTGTTTTTGGCAAGATTGGGTGTAAGTGTTTTTGTAAGCACATGTCGTCAAAACGGAGAGTTGGAAAATTCAAATAATACAGTGTATCCTAAAATTGCCGGTACAGTCTTCATTATATAATAAAAGGACAGTTGTACACAGCGCCGTAGTGAGGGTATGGTGAAAACGGCTTCCATCATGTGCGACAAGCCAAAGGGGTGCATTCAGAGAGGTGCCACATAAACGCGACCCATAACTTGTCATTACCAAAAATGGTTAAAAATTGAAATGGTTATGGAACTTTACATGAACGTTTATGGGATAAAGTTTAGTTTTTTGAAACCGGGCCTTACAAATAATGGATTCAAAATCCTTGTTTTCTCCATACATTTTCGGAAAGAGAACTATATAACTATTTTTTTTATTTATGGATTGCGAATATTAATGGTAATGGTTATAGTAGTCAGCAAGGTCAAAATATGGTTTTCTAAAGGCTACCAATTCGTGTTATATTCCACATGAAGCTGACCAATATAAAAAAAAACTATACAATATCATATCTGACTACCATAACCATTACCATTAAAGTTCTCAAACCATAAACAATATGATTCTAATATAGTTCCCTTTGCGAAAATGTATGGTAAATCAAGAATTGTGAATGGTAATGGTTCTTAATAACCCATGATTTGTAAGGTCCAGCTCCAAAAATCTATGATACATTAGGTTAAAACTTTACCTCATAAACGTTCATGTAAAGTTACATTACCACTTCAGTTAAAGTTCTGCTTAACTTATACACTACAAAGTTATGCTTAACTTATACACATTATAAACAATTTTTAATCATTTTTGGTAACGTCAAGTTATGAGTCACGTTTATGCGGATTTCTATATGGCAACTTTTCCTAGGAATTTATTCCACTGACATTTAAACCATGGGCGTTGCCACATGGGACTGCAAATGTGAACTTGGGTGAACCTTCCTGTGAGTTTAATTTAAAAAAAATATCGTTTAGAATTATAATTTCAAAGGTATTCTGGAAAGTGTTCTTAAGAAATTCCATGGATCATTGCTAGGTAATTCTGAAAGGAATTCATGGACTTTTCGAGGAGAATTTCAGGTGAATTCTATGAAGAATTGCAAGGGTATTATAAATGGAATTCCATGGTAATTCTGAGCATAGTTTCATCGAGATTCTATGGAGAAATCCAGGATAATTCCAATGAGAATTTTGTGGAGAATTTCAAAGGATGGTAATTCTGAATCCAATGACATTTCAATGGAATGCTGACCATAATTCCAAGCAGTTATGAGTAGAATTTTAAAGTTGTTCTGACTTAGAATTTCGAAAGATAATTCCATGGAAATTGTGAGGAGAATTCTAGGAGATATCAACGGAATTTTGAGAATATTTTCAACGTTGTTTTGAGATTATTTTCAACGGAACTTTTAACAGATTCCATAAGGGAATAATGATCTGATGAGAAATACAAAGTCAATTTGGATGTGTATTCCAAGAGAATTTTAAAAAGAATTCCAAACAAATTCTTACAAAAATATCAAAGAATTCTAAGATAGTTCCAAAGGTCATCTCCTACTCTGAGCATAGTTTCAAGGAAATTACGTGGGAAATTCAAAAGAAATTGTATAGTGAATTCCAATAAACTTTTCGAAGCGCAACAAAGGCATTCTGGGAGAAACCTTAGGAAATAAGCAGCTCCAGGCCAAATTGCATTAAAAGAAAAATGTATTTTTGACTCGACCTTCTCCGATTTGCATAATTGCTTGCTATGGGCGCTCCTTCCCTTTTTTGGCAAAAAATCGGCTGTTTTGGATCGCTTTTAACATTTTTCAATAGTAGCAGAAAATGTCAGTTTTGATAAAAATGAGAACCGACACAAATCTGTTAAGAAACTAAGTCTTTCTGGGAAAAATATACCCGTTAAATTTTGAGTTAAAATTCCAGAAATGTGTAAAAAAAGTCAAATATCTCTAAAAGTATATTTTAAATATTAATGGGAAGTTCACCACTCCGTAAAAAATAATAATGTTTTGATTTTTCATTGAATATTGGAAAAGGATGTAAAAATCTAAAACAATCACATTTTTTTCTAATTTCTTAAAGAAAATTCACGTGCAACAATATTTTGTATAAGTCATCATGGCAGAAATTTGGACTCAAAAAACCATAAAACATCGACTTTTCAGTTTTGCTAAGGGTCCAATTTTTTCCGGTTGTGATAAAAAAATATTTGTGCATGTATTTTTTCCAGGAAACTAAGGAAAAAACTGATTTTCTTGGATTTTTAATAATGTTTCCTATTTTTTTTTCGAAAAATAAAAACGCGTTCGAAAAAAAAATCTTGGGGCATTCCATAGCAAAACGATATAGAGATTCTCTGAATTTTGTAAAAAATGTTTGTTTTGTTCCTAATCGCAAAATATAAGACTCATATTTGTTTTTTTTTTTTTATTTTTTCATTAGGGTGATCATTTCCATGTTAGAGTGGTTAAAAAATTGATTTTATTTCAAAAATGGCTTTTTCAAAAATATATAAATATCATTAGCGACTGTAACATGGTTCCGACGCATAGTAGTCTAGTCACATAGGAGTATTAAATAAAAATCCATAATTTCATATCTGCAAAAAAAATATAACTCAGAAACGAAAAAAAAAAAATTCTATGAAAAGACCTAAATTTTCAAGGAAGATATAAAAAAAAAATATTGCGCTCTCTGTCTAAAAACCATAAATAGCATAAAATCAAATACAATTAAAGTTTTCCAATACAAAGTCTCTATTTTTTATTATTAAAAGTATTTTTTAATTGCCTTTTATTTGATATTTTGATCTTGCCTCGCGGTTCAAAAGTTATGAATTTTTGAAAAAAGCCGTTTTTGAAAAAAAAAAATGATTTTTGGACCACCCTAACATGCAAATTGTCACCCTACTGATAGCATAAAAAATACGGGTCTAATATTTTGCGATAAGCAACAAAACCATAAATTTTTACGAAATTCTGAGAACCACTATATCGTTTTGCTATGGAATGGCTGTATTCATAATTGTTTGTTTTAAAGCTCATGCAAATGCAAAGTTTTCAAAATATTTTGAAAAATAAAATCCAAATCCTTAATGGCCGAATTTTAGCAAAAACGTTAATGATTGCCCATGGTCGAGTCAAAAATTCATAGCTTGATTTACTGAAAAATATCGAATATTCCATTTTTTTTTTAAATTAGGTGCGTGTCAAAACGGCCTTAATTGCAGCACAAACTTGAGAGATTGCCCAATTGCGAACAATTATGCAAAGTTTCATGGAATTCGGAGAGTTACCCGAATTGTCAGTTGGCGTGGAGCTGCGCAAGTCACAAGTAGTTGGACAAATTGTCATGATTCTGGGTCGTACAAAGTTTTCATGATTCTTCTAAATTTTAATGTACTCTCAATCAGTATTGTCAAATCTACGAAATTTACTACAGATCTACGAATTTTTAAATTTCTACCAATTACTAATTTCTTAAGAGTATACGTCATTTTTGATCGACCTCTAATGACTTGGCTAAATTTTTGGAATGTTAATAGGGGAAATGGCTCTAATGTTGGCCTATGGATCTAAGATCGGGCCCATCGCTAAAAATCTGCTATTTATCAATTTTATCTAGATTGGGACGGTGGGTTCGATCCCAGTCGGCGCCGCCGGGATGTTCTGAGGCATAACATCTCTGATCACGCCTTCCTTCGGATGGGAAGTAAAGCCGTTGGTCCCCGGTTCATGAGTTGATGGGTCGATAGGTAGGGTCCAGGTGTGGGAGCTGCCTTCCTGGCACGTCGGTAGCATTGGTGCTCAGCACGGAAAACAAGATCGACGGAAAAAACAAACCAAAGGAAAAAAAAAAAAATAGATTGGGACGGTACTAATGGATATTTTTGGTCGATATTGAAAATTTAGTCAATTTCTGAATTTATGTATGGGCCCAAATTCGGGGCATTTAGGCCGACATTACATCCATTTCCCCTATGTGATTGAATTTTCCTTTTCTTGCGATTCATTATTTCTCCAAAATTTGATTTCACCATAAAAAAAAAATGAGATACACGGCCGTTCAATCTCACTCAGACAGAGAGAGAGAGAGAGAGTAACATTTTAAAAACGCTGAGTAGTCAGCGCTGAGTGACCTACGTTTATGGAAGTTACTCTCTCTCGCTCTGAGTGAGATTGAACGGCCGTTCAAATCGGAGACAGGCTATACAGATGTTGTTATGCTTTCTTAACAAATGCTAAGTGACAGACACAATCTTGCCATATAACGTTCTTAGGTAAATCTTACGAAAGAATTTTTGTATTTTTGCTATTTTTTTAAAGCGGTGGTTCTCCTTTTTCTCAACCGCAGCGTTAATGTTTTCATCCGTTGGCTTCCAGGAGAGTTGCCAGTCTTTGTCCCGATTCAAATGGGAGTAAATGTCTGCTTGCAAAGTTTTGCTTTTTTCTGCGACAAGTTTTACCGGCTTTAAAAGATAATCTATTGCTTATTTCACATAAGCAGCTGAATTTATTGTTTTAATCTAGTATTAGGTTCACACGCACTTCTTTTCACGTACGCACGCTCATTAGGTGTTTTTTCTCAAATAAATCAACTCTTCAATATTTCAATACTAAATAGAAACTGCCATACGATCGAACAAAAAAAAATCAACTTAGCCGCTTTTTCCTCGTATTGTTATTATCGCTCGCTAGGCACATCTCCTTCCTGTTCTTCCACCCCTCCTCCCGCTTTCGACGATATCTCCGAGCACGGTAGCAGTAGTCATCGGCACTCGTCGGACGATAACAAAACGGGCAGCGGTGGAAGTGGTGGCGGCGGCGGCGGTGTCATTGGCAGTGGCCTCAGCCGAAGCAGCGGAGGTATCGGTGACGGTGGCAGCACCGGAGGTACCGTGGACCGGCGGAGCACCTCCTGCCGGAGTGATAACTACAAGGAAGACTCGATAAGGTAAGGATGTGTTGATATGGGACGGATGATTGGATGAATGGATGGATGGGATTGATTGGATTGTTTTGGATACGGTCTTATCGGTTGGTATGATTTGTTAAAGTTTGTTCGGTTCTTCCATGCTTGAACAGGTTGATTTCAGAATGGTAGAAATTGTTTGTTTTGTTTGCTTGCAGTTGAGTATTGTTTTCCGTGAATCATAGTTAATAGTGATTTACTCTATCTTCATATGTTTTTCTCTTTTTCTCTCTCCTCCGTTTTCATTTTATGCATCATCTTCAACATCACTCATTTGAATGTATTTTGATATGTTTTCATTTGGTAACAAAAAAAAAAATCATTCGCAAAATTTCAAAATTCGATCCAATCCAGTATATCAGAAATAAGATTAGAAAGTCATTTAGCAGTCGAATCGTCATCCAATAGCAATTACGGATCTAGAGGTGCACTAGCGTGGACACCGCCAGCCTCGGTCGAAGGTTCCACCCCGACCTGGACCGAGGGAACGCCTAGCTTTACGGAGTCGAGCTCCAGCGGTGATATAGGAAGTAAGTAGCTCGCGCACTTTGTTACCTTTTAATCGACTACAACTGTTATCCCTCTTCCCGGAAAACAGCATTCTCAGGCCATTCGTCTCCACTGCATACCACCCTCTCGGATCGGGATCGCCACAAGCCAACGGTCGAGAAGGCCCTCAACTCGCTCACGTCCGAAATGGTAAGCTTTTCCAAATCGCATTACTCCTCTTCCGCTTCGTCGGTATCGGCGTCCTCGTTCAATGTCAAAAAGCTACACAAACAGGTGATCTATGTAAAGAACAGCAGCTGCTCGAGTATAGAGCAAAGCGGTACCACCAGTGGATCGATGGCCGTCAGTCCGGGTGGTTCGGCCGGTGGGTCAACGTCGTCGATGACGATGATGACCACTACCACGACCAGCAGTACCCGGATGGCGTCCACCGATCGGCCGTTGGAGTCGGCCGCTTCCATTACGACCATCGGTACGACCGACGCATCCACGACATCGTCATCACCGGTGACGGTATCCGTGGACAATGGCCTCGGGGCGTCGACCGATGGTAGTAGCGGTTCGTTGGCCGATCTCGAGCGCAATGTACTGCGGATTAACGAATGAATGCCGGCTAGATGGCAATTCCCATTGGAACCGGTCGCAAAAGAAAGTGTAATCGCATTGTGATTTAGAATATGTATTTATAGCTATTATTTATTGTATTCTGTTTAACATAGGTTATCATTTTTACAATTTTACAATTTCCGGAAAGTACCATATGCAAAGTCTACCTAAATTCACAAATTGCTTCTGTTCATCTCTTCGCATGGAGAATCTCTGACATTTAAACACATTCATAAACGCGTGTAGAGAGGTTCCGTTTATACACATTTGCTTTAATCACAACGAATTGATATTCGGCTACATTGTAATTGAGCTAGAAAGTTTCATCTGTAAATACAATTCACGGCTCGTCAGGGCTGCCACATCGTTCACTGAAGATTAGTAGTTATCACATCGCGTGGATATCCTCATTAGACCCATATCGACCTCTGCAAATTATGTAATTAAATTTTTGATTTTTTTTTTTATAATTTATTATTAGTAATCATTAGTTATATTATCTAGAATATTCCTCACAATTATACATTTACAGCAGAAATATAAAATCGGACATGTTAATTTGTTATTTTTGATAAGCAGAAAAGAAAGTCAGCTTTTTTTCGTTAGTTTGCAGTTAATGTTTCTTCCCCTCCCCGCACCTAAAACCAATCTCGTTATTTCGGACCTACAACCGAGGTTTACAATTCCATTTTGTAGGCTAACGCCGCAACAGCGAATCTGCACGCCATTGCAGAACCACCTACCGTAGGATGTATCTCGCTTTCCACTGATGGTTTCCTGTCGGCTTGGAGAAAGCTGTTCTAAGTTAGTAAACTGTCTCACTCCGTCACTCACTCCCATTGTGTGCGTGTGTGTGTGTTTTGCTGCGGGCATTCCGCTAATCATCTTCATCTGCGCACTAGCGGTTGTTGATCTATTTGTTACTAACGTTGAATTTTTGTGCTGCTGATACATTGTCATTTGTAACTGATCATATTTCCGTGATTAATTGTCTGCCTCGCAGTCTTTTTTTCTGGCAGCTTTGGGCGAAACATCTGCTTTGAGCGCTTTGCATTGTTTATCAACTCATTTCGGAGCAGTTCTGTTGTGCAGAATTGTGGCCCTGCGCGGGAAATGTTTAGTCAACATTTGATATTAGAGAGTTATTCTTCTTCTGTGGTTTTATCAGGTCTCTACTGGGATTTTTCGCCGGCTCTCAACTTTGCATTATCAGAGCACTTCTGCAGTTGTTAATTGAGAGCTTTGTAGGTCTGAACAATTTTTTATAATTGTTTGCCAAGCAGGGATCGTCTAGCTGCCCGTGCACAGCTCAAAAATAGGTTGGGTTGTGATTTTTTCGAGAGCAAGAGACCAGAGTGAGCTCGCAATAATTTGAGAGACGTGCAATGCACTATGGGAAATTTCCATACAAGCAGGCGGAAAAAAATATTTTCTTCGTTTTTGCTTCAATGTAAGATGTTGAATGGTTGTAATTACTAACTGAGATATGAAGAACAAATTTTGATGATTCACGAATAACTTTTGATAAGGGCTTAGTGGATCTTTAATGATAATATTTACAATTTTTTTTCTGTAGCATTTACTTGTTAATTTTACAACAAAGCTTCCATATAAATGAATGGTTATATTCATTCTTCCTAGTTTATTTCAGTTATAAGATAGGTAACAGGATGAGTGAAAAATGGAGGGATTAAAATTAAATTTTGCGGGGACGACTCTGGCGTAGTGGTTAACATCCGTACCTCTCACGCCAAAGTTATGAGCTGAAATCTCACCCCGGACCAGTCATGAATGGCCCAAGAGTGTTAAAGTGACTTTAATAAAAAAAATAACTGGAAGTGTTTCTCGATATTGTACATTTTTTATTTTTCGGCACTGATATTATCACTAGCTAAATCTTCTTCAACTTCGTCAACAGCTTCCAAATTCTTCCAATGCATTGCAGTTATCATCACAGACTGTTGAGCAGTTTTCAGAATCTTCGAATATCATAAAAGTTTTGACAATATCGGGATAGCTCAATGCTTTTTTGTTTGTCTTCTTTTCTCCATCCAAATGGTACTAATGAATGGATCTGATTCATTCGTTACCCGAATGAAGACATCATGTAAATTTTCGACACTGGATCGTTTTCTAGCACGGTGAGTTCGATGTTTTTTTTAGATGTTTATGTTGATTTTCTGCTGCTTCTTCTGCTAATATTCCATGAGGAGCTGGCGAATGAATTGCTATTTCTCCAGCATGAGCAAGTACTTTATGTACGGTTGCAGGAATTTTATACTAATCATGTAAAAAACGTCGGTATGTTTCTTTGAAATAGGCATCAATTTTTCCAATTTAAACGCTGCTTAAAAGATGAGGATTTGCGAATCCTCGTCGACAAACGTTACATGTAGTGCTAGTACCTGCTCCTCCCGATCTTGGTTGATGAACTCTAACTTCAAATTTTTCATGAAGCTGCGCCGTTACTTGTTTTTTTCTTTGCAAATACTGTTCTTTATATGGCTGTAAAACTTTCCAGTGCTTTATATCCATACGCTACGAAATATGCAGCATTCATTCAAAGAAGCGAATCCATGCATGAAGTCGAGATATACCATAGACTAGGGTATCTACTTTGTATAGAAATCCTTCTTCTTATTTGTTTTTGTTGTTCATTACGTTTGGAGTTGCCCCACAAATAGGACAGTTCTGCATTGATGAACTACTACAAATATATCTTAACACCTTACCGCCAATCATACTTAGTGCAAATTTAAAATCAACTAAGATTGTGTTTCCGTTTAAAAGATCAAATTTCACTGGTATTAGTTCTTGCATTTCTTTCTCCACGTCTTGTATTGAGAATACATCAGAATCATCTTGACATTCGTCTGGCAGTTTTTGATGATACTGGGAATAACTCATCGAGTTCCATCTCAATAACTTTGATGATTCGTTAGACTGTATGTTCCAACAGAGCCTGTAGTTGTATGGTGGAAATCTTTATGGTACCTCTATTGACTTTTGCTTAAGCCAGCTTCAATGAACATACTAAATGCTTCTTCAGGTGACATCATTCTACGTTCATCTGTTAACTGCTCGTATATTTTCTTTTAATGTTCTTGGGTTTTAATAAGGTGTACAATGACCATAACCAGATTAAAGTCCCGACGATTATAGGCAGTCCGTCGCGTAATAAATAAAGCCTTCTCGATGCTGTCCACCTTTGGATTTACTTCCACGTTGTCGACGAGACGACGCTTGCTTCTTTCGCTTAGCTCATTAAATTGCTTTGAAGTTGAAAGAAGTTCTGATCCTCTTCGATGAATTCCTTGATGGCAAATTAGATTTGAGCCAACTCCGATGGTCTGAATCAAATCTCTCTTTTTATCGTTGAGATTAATTGGACTTCTCCTTGTATTTACTGACGAGTTTGTAAATTTTATCATGCAGTCGTGGTTGGTTTTCCACGTGGATATGATATTTTTCACAAATATACTTGAAAGCTTTTTGAACGTTTTCGCTATGCGTTAGACAGATTCTGACATTGAAATATAAATAGCTTCAACAAGTCTTGAATGAAAGGTAGGAATACTGGGTAGCAGATGCTTTATTCTACCTTTGAAATAACACAAATAACGTATATAAAAATAAATGACCATATACGCACCATCACAATACATTCTTAATACATCGTGCTGTTTTGCTTTTTATATCAACAACTAAATTAGGTCCGTTGTTCAACAACATATTTCATTATAACAAATCATTTCATTGTGAAAATTGAGAATAGGGTAAATGTTGGCTTCGACACCTAAGACTATTTTCGGCAACCCATTTTCAAACGGCAATGACACTGAAATATCCCAGCAGAACATCTTGTTAGATGTATTCAAACGATTCCTTGGTTAATCAGCTACAAACTGATTACATTTTTACATAATGCAGCTAATTTAGAGGTGCCGATAATAGGACAACCGGTTAACACGTAAATTAAATGGAAAGGCTGTCGAAGAAAAAGAAGCTGCCAATAATTGTCCCACTCACCTGGGAAGTTTGGAGCGTTGTAAAAACGATTACAAACAATTTTGGACAATTAGGTTGATTGGAATACGCGAAAATAATGTATTTCATGAAAATCAGCTAATCTAATCAAATTTTTGATAACGCTCTATTTCCAAATGGCGCAAATTTGCGCAAGCTTTTTTTTCTGAACTCGATAAAATACACATAAAACTCGATCATGGAGCATAAAATGACCTGGGAATGCTTGGGGAAAAAAAAATGGCTGACCAACAAAAAAATAAATTTAACGTCTTTCTTGTTACATCCCCAATTTTTTAATTTTTTAATATTTTAAAATAATTCCTTCGTATTATATTGCATTTTCGTTAAAAGGTCTTTTTATAAGCTTTCTAATGGTATGTGAAAACATAGGAATAACTGCTATATAAACTATAAAATATTATTTTAATGTGCACTTGTTTTTTAAGCAAAAAGCTTATGATTTCAGCGCTTTTTCAACTTTGAAGTTGAATATCTCTGAAACTACAAATCGTAGATACCTAAAATTTTGGGAACTTCTTAGTCAAAGTGTTTACTATTGATAGAGTATTCCAGAAACTGAGTTAGAAAAAGTTAATTTTCATATTTTTGTCCGCCTGATTTCCTATAGTGCAATGAGGGTAGGAGCGCACTGGAACAGCACAAAGAGAGCTCAACATTAGTACGAGATAAGCTCATCCCATTATAAACAGTTCCAAAACCAATGCAAAAAACAAAGTTTTGGATACATAGCATGGGACAATACACTGATGCAACATTTGAAATTTCCGCTCCACAGTGGTCAAACGGTTCCAAATTTGGCCCTGATCAGCCTCCCAAAACTTGAACTCATGAGAAACTGACTTGGCGCAAACCATTTGAAGTTTATATGGGAATTACTATAGAGAAACCAAACTTTCGGTTCATATATATCTCAAAATTCAACAGTTCACTCTACTTTAAAAATGATAGCCGAGCTCGTTGAAAATTTTCTCAGCTACAACTTTGTTCAACACCACTTTTCGATCAAATGTAAGGAACAAAAGTTATTAATGATTCAAGTCACTGATGTCTTATGATTATGCTCAATCAACTGTTCAGCAGGCACCATTGGTGTTTCTGGTGCGAAGAATAGAGCACAAATATCATGGCTACTGTGTCACACTGCAGAATACAGTGGTGCCCACAGAACAGTTGCTTGAACATGCCATAAGATTATCAATCTCTTAAACAATTAATAACAATTTAATTTGACATTTGGTTGAAAAACAATGTTGGGCAAAGTTGTAGCTTGGAAAATTTCCCGTAAGAATAGTTATAAAATTTTTCGAAAAAGCAATATGGAAAATGGGTAGTAGGCAATAAACGAAAAAAATGGTTTTCCCATAGTAATTTCCATATAAATTTCGAATAGTTTGTGCCAAGTCAGTTTCTTGCCAAATGAGTTTAAATTTTGGGAGGCTAATCAGGACCTGATTTGAAACCGTTTGAGCATTGTGGAGCGAAAATTTCAAATTTTGCATCAGTCTAGT